CCCTAAACAATCTTTAAAAAATGAAATTTATAAATCACTGGTTACTTTATTATTAATGTTGATTATCATAACATTTCCTGATGTTTCCAGAAGGCAAATAACATTTTTTTTGACACAGTGTCTCATGTTGTTCAAACTGGCCTCAAACATGCTATGAGAATGACCGTGGACTTCAGAAATTCTTGGCTCCACCTCTCCTGTTCTGGAGTTACAGTCGCACTCTACCACAGGTGATATATGCTGGGCTGGGCACGGAAGTCAGGGCTTTGTGACTCTCAGGCCCTGTTGACGTTTTCTTATACATCTGGTCTTTGAGCATGTGTGTACTTTCAGGTACAAGAATGTTTTCTGAGCTCCTCTTAGACTTTCCCAGCTTTGAATCTGTTCTCCAAAGAACCAGTAAAATGGTGTTCATAAACCAGAAGTTGGGCACTAGGAGTGCTCGTGGTGGTCAGAACCTCAGTGTTTCTTAGCTCTTTCAGAGATGTAGGGCTACCTTTCTAGTCCTCCTCTCTCATTTTTATCTACCACCTATTTCAAGAAATAGGAATCTACCCCCAAAATAGCCTATTCCACCCTGTCTTCCTAGGAATATTCTCAGTTTTCTTCTGTTCTGAATCTGACTCCTCTTACTAAGACTGAGAAGCAGGGCTTCCATTGTTCTTGATATCCTTTTGGTGAATTCATTTTTTTGTTTTTGTTTTTGTTTTTCAAGACAGGGTTTCTCTGTATAGCCTTGGCTGTCCTGGAACTCACTTTGTAAACCAGGATGGTCTCAAACTCACCTCTGCCTCCCAAGTCCTGGGATTGAAGGCATGGGTCACCATACCTGACATTTTACTGGCATTTATTCATTATAAATAGCTGGGTTTTCTAGTAATATTTTCATGAAAACAAATAATGTACTTTGATCTCATTTCCTGTCCTATCCTCCTTTCTTCTCCCTCCTCCTAGTCCCCCTCATTTTCCTAGACACTTCATCTTCTCTTTCCATGATCAATTCTTTTTTAAGAAATTATTTTGCTTCTGGCCAGGCAAGGAGATCAGTGCCTTGTTCAGCCATCAACAGAGAAGCTTCCCCTTGTAGCAGATGGGAACACATACAGAGACCCACAGCCAGACATGATGCAGAGTGAGAGACTTTGGAACACTCACCCCTAAATGGGATGTCTTCATCAAATCCTTCCCTTCAGGGCTTGCAGAACCCTGTGAAAGAGGAGGCAGAAAAAGTGTAGGAGCCAGAGGATAAGGAGAATGCCAAGAAAACCAGACCCTCTAAATCAACAGAATAGATGCAGATATGAACTCACAGAGACTGAGGCAGCTTGCACAGGACCTGCACTATCCTGCACCAGGACCTCTCTATATGTGTTATGGCTTTCAGTTTAGTGTTTTTATGGGATTCCTGAGTGTGTGAGTGAGAGGGTCCAATTCCTATGCCTTCTCTTAGGCTCTTTTCCCATTTGTTTTATTTTAATTTTGTATTATATTTTATTATTATGCCTTAGAAGCCTATTTCTTTCCTAATGAGAGACAGAAAATGGGTGGATCTGGATAGGAGGTGTTGTGGGGAGGAACTGGAAGGAGTAGAGGGAAAAGAAACCATAAGCAGGATATATTATGAGAGGAAAAATATTTTCAATTAAAAATTCCTCCCCCAATAAACAAAGGCTCATCCATTCAAAAATTACTTTATTTTAATTTGTGTGTGTGTGTGTGTGTGTGTGTGTGCACATGTTTGTGTGTTTCTGTATGGGTCTGTGCATGTGTGAACAGGAGCTTGCAGAGGCCAGAAGAAACATCAGATACTCTGGTGCTGAAGTAACCAGTGGGCTCTTTACTCACTAAAGCACAAGCTTCTTGTGTAAGGATACGTCTCAATGGAGGCTTTAGAGCTGGCTTGGCCTCTCATACCCAGCCAGGCTGCCTTCCATGTAGACATCTTCTCCAAAGTACTGGGTCCCATTTGGAGTCAGTAGTGGCTTTCTTCATGAGCCTTACACAATGTTTTTAGACTAAATGACTCAGGAAGAGAATGGAAGGGTAGAAAGTAAAATGAAAGAACCCAGTAAAGTTTCTGATACTGGATAAGACTGGAACACTTTAGCCTTTGGTGCCCAATCCGTTGACCAGTCAGCCATTTTTATTTTATGTTCATTGTTGTAGGACAGGGAGGAGCTTGTGATAGATTCTGTCATGATTTCTTTTCTTGTTACTGTGATAAGCACCACAAGACAATCAAGTTAAGGGAGAAGGAGTTTACTCTGGCTCACAGTTCTAGTGGAGGGGAAATCAGGGGTCACGTGACGTCCACAATCAGGAAGCAGGAAGTGATGAGTCAAGCTGCTGCTCAGCTCCCTTTCTATACTTACTTACATAGTCCCGGATCCCATGTGGCACCACCCACAGAGGGCGGGCCTTCACGCTTTAAGCAACTCAATCAAACACCCACCACCCACAGGCATGCCTGGAGGCCCATCTCTATCCAAGGTGATTATAGATTCTCTGGAGCTGACAATAGCAACAACCACGGATTCCAAAGAAGTCTGAGAAAACATGGCCTTTCAGAGACGTGAGTGGAGAGGAACATGATAATAAGTCAAGCCTAATAATAAAAATATTAGCATTTCACTTGAGTCATATTAAAAGTCCTTCAACGATGACAGAATTAAGCTACAAATAAATTTCTTTTTTTCCCTTCAAATTCCTGGTTTAATAAGGAATTATTTATTTTGAGAAAGAGGTCCCAAACATCAGGCTGTTCACAAAAATAACCCATGGTATTAACTTTACAAAACAAATATTAAGACTATTACACTATTTTCCTGTAAGATGCATTTGACTTTGCCAACTCTCATTCACAAAAATACATGGTTACATTTGTGTTGAACAGCCACACTCATGTGAGGGAAAACACACCTATAATGCAAAGCTGCTCTCAGGGTTACAAGTAAATGAGATGTCTCTGCAGTTAGGGAAGCAACTACCAAAATCATAGGAATTGGAAGAACTGTACTCCCTGCATAACAAGAGATTATTTTGGAGACAGTTGATTAAAAACCATACATCTTTTTATTGTTAAGTCAAAGAGGTATCAACATTTAAAGCAAAAATTACAAGGTAAGACTTAACAAAACTACTAAGGAGCATCAAAGGAAGTGAAAATGGAACTAGGTGCAGGGCAATTATGAATCAATGAAAGGATATGAACTGAAATTCCAATGAAAGAAAATTATGAATCAGGAAGGATAAGGAGAGGGAGAACAGTGAGAATGTGCTGAAGTTCTAGGGGAGAGGATCTGCTGTTACTGTGATCTCTCACAAGTGCCTAGGTAAATGAATGAATAAATTTCTTAAGCAATGTCTCAATTCAAAATGGATCAGCAGCACCAAACTTTGAGAGTCAAGTGCAGATCCCAAATTGGTTCACACAATGGATGACCATGGTGATTGGAAAGGATTATCATCTTGTTTTATTGGTTCAGTGTTTTCCCCATTAATGTGTATAATGACACCATGTATTTTTGAAAGAGATATTTACTTATATTCTCAATATCATAAAATTTTACAAAGAAACAAATTGATATACTTTTACCAAAAGTCAATACAATAGTTTCTATTTTATTAAAAATTATTGGTAGAAGTAAAGAGAAACCATTACTACAGTTAGAATTCAGAATTGATGGAACTAATTGGAATCAGTGTAGATCATCCTAAGAGAATCAGAAGATGAATCTCCATATCTATTACTGACTTTGTTTCCTTTGAATCACATAATAGATGGTACTCTGTATAGACACTGAGCATGTTCAATGAATTACTGAATATTCAATCATCCAGGAAAGTACATTATGCTCATTTCATCTGGGTTTCATTCCATGGTAAATTAAATTTGCTGGTGTTCCATGACACAGCCCCCTTGAAGAATATAGCATGGTTCCTGAGGGAAATTCACGCTCCAGTTATAGGTTTATCTCTTGACACAATCTTCAGGATGATGGGGTTTTCTGGTTGGAGAATTGGTTGCCTGCTGAACTTCAGGGGGATCTGCAATAGTTAAACAATCACAATGAGAAGCAATGAGTGAGGCACCAGCAATGATAGAAGTAAAGAGAACAGATACATTAAGGACCACAATGCTTTATACACATAAGCACACACTGTATATCACTGTCCTATATCCTGAGTCCTTTATACCTACATATTCACTGAGACTGGATGGCAAAAGCACTTATCTTTTTATACAGGCAAGTATTAGTTGAACACCTATTGTGTGTAGAGTTAAGGAAAAAGTTATATTGGTTTGTGTTCTTTAGTGATTTAAATTTTAAGTCAAAAGGCCAAGTTAAAACTTTAGATCATAACTTAAGTATACAGAAAATGAATTTTGGAGGCAATATAAAGTTAATTTTACATTCACTGAATGTATGGTAATCCTGAGAATGTATCACACATTTCACCCCTATGGAATGACTCAGTTATCAAAGTGCCTGGGCACCAGGTTTGCCCATTTAGTTCAATGGTGGACAAGGAATCCAGGAAGCAGTGGCCCTTGTTATTTTAGCTTCCAAGGGTAGTTTGAAAGATGACCTTGAGTAATTCAATGTTTTCATAATCATTTTGCCTCAGTCTTTTCAGTCTTGAGGGGGTGAGGAAGCCTCCTCCATAGCAATTTGATCTCATTACAGGAAAGGGAAAGAAAATTGTCATGGGGGAAGGGCGTCAGACTGTGGGTAACTGGAGCATGTTAGGTGTTCCAGAGTCCTGCTTGCTTCCAAGATGAAATGTTCTGTCCATCTGTCCATCTAAAGAAACTCCTACACACATTTATAGGACAGCTATATTGTAGCCATAGGCCACTTATATCCTCCTGGCCTCCCATGAAAAAAGGCAATGGGACAGGAAAACACTGTATATTTCATGTGTGTGTGTTAGAACTTAACCATCAGACAGTGATTTACGTAGTATTCCCATTGTCTTAGCCACTTTTTACTGCTATGGAAAGCAGCTCTCATAAAAGGATTTAACTGGGGGCAGGCTTACAGTCTCAGAGGCTTGGCCCATCATTATCATGGTGGGGAGTATGGCAGCAGGCACAGCAGACATGATGCTGGAGAAGGATCTGAGGACTACATCTTGATCCACAAACATTGGGCCTAGTGTGGGCTTTGGAAACCTTGAAGGCCACCTTTAGTGATTCACATATCCTGTGTCACATTGGTGACTCTCAACTTTGGTGTGCAGGAGAATAGCCTATATCTTAAAGCCACATTCTGGGTGCATTATTTCAGTGTACCTAATATGGCCAGACATAGTGGCCAGACATAGGCTCTTCAGTAGTTAGTTCTTAATCATAGTCAGCGATTGGGAGCTCCTGATACCTGGAAGCTTCTCTTAAGTCCTGGTGATGCCCACCAGTCACAAACCGTGATAAGATCATTATTATATGTTGTGTGCACAATGTCTCCCCATCTTGTTAACTTGGACAGAATTTCAAGATTTCATATAGTCATGTCCCCTAATCTGCACTGACTCTAAATGAATTCCTTACTTGTGTTTTATTCGGACACAGCTCAGGATGGAAAGACCTTAAAGCTCATATCAGACTACAAATACCTTCTTTTGTTCCCTACATTATTAAATTGTTCATGAGCAGTGTGGTGATTTGAATGAAAATTGCCCCCTCAGGCTTATGTTTGAATACTTGGTCCTTGGTTGACAGAACTGTCTGGGAAGGATTAGGAGGTGTGGCCTTGTTGGGGGAGGTATGTTACTGGGGGGGGGCATTGAGATTTCAAAAGACGCGTGCCAGTCATTTCCAGTCTCTCTCTCTCTCTCTGAGCTCTCAGCTGTACCTGCTGCCATGCCTTCACTCTGACATCATGGACCTTCATCCTCTGCAACCATAAGCCCAATTAAACACTTTTTTTTTTAAAAAAAATAAGTTGTCTTGGTCATGGTGTTTTATCACAGCAATAGAAAAGTAACCAAGACAAGCATTTTATTTTCTGTATGTAAAGCTCCAACATTTTTCTATAAAAAGTTGAAACATTATTTATAGAGAGAATTTCTTGCCTCACCTCTGTTTCCTCACAAGGCTGGAGGGTGAAGTTCTGCAGGACTCTGACGACAGCGAGTTTCATGCTGATGAGGGCAAACCTCATGCCAATGCAGTTCCTGGGTCCGTTCCCGAAGGGCAGGTATACATAAGGATTGATGCTGCCCTTGTTCTCCTTGCTGAACCTGGAGATAGAGTGGGGATGCAAATGAGGTTATGGAACATGGAGATCCAAGAGCTCCATGTTTGGAGTTCTGACACCCTCAACCAGGATGGCGTAGCTGAACCAAGTTTGTGGACTTGCAACTGAACCCTTACTGCAGGTGTCTGACTAAGGGACTGTGAGCTAAAAGTCTACTCCACTCACACCAAAACAGATATTTCCTGGGTTCTTGAGACAAGTGGAAATGAATGCTCTTTGAGAGAAAACACATCCTTAGACAGAAAATATTCCTTTTAGGATGATGAAGTGTCCTTCCCTGAAAGACATATTGGGATTGACTGAACTGAAGGCAAAGTGGGCTCCTGCCTCACACTTAGGAAGGAGGAGACACCTCTCTGTCACTGTGGGAAATGCTCATTTCCCCTCCCCCATACCCCCTCTCCCCTCATTTCCCTTCTTTGTTGCTCCCCTCACCTGTGTTTTCACTGTCAGCCTCTCCTCCTTCAACTCTCTTTTTCTTATGAGAATTGCTTTTGCTTCAGAACAACCAAAGCCAAATAATTTTCTGGGGCACAGGATGAGTCTCTACATCATGAGTGATTTCCATGTCTACCTTCTCCACTCAGCTAAAAAATACCTACTGAAGACGTAGAGTTGAATTTATTCAAATTTGATTTTTTCATTATTTGACTATATAAGTGAAAATAAATGATTCTGAAAAAGTGACAAGAACAGAAATGCTTGGTGTTTTAAAATCATTTTTGATAATTTGTAGGAAAAAAAGAGAAGTATTTACATGTGATATGTTATGAAATAACACAGGAATGTGGACAAATTAGGTTGTGTGTGGATAAGGAGTTCACATGGTTGACCATGAGAAATGCATTATAATAATTGTATGGGACTTAGGAGATGGCTTATTCAGTAAATTACTTATCTGACAAGTGTATTGGTCTGGGTTTGTTCCCCTAGAACCTGCACAGAAAGCTGGGCATGGTGATGTGTGCCTGTAATCCTAGCAGTGGAGAGATGGGAAGTGGAGATGATCTGATCCCTAGAATACGATATCCAGCTACACTAACTTAGTGAAAGCCCTAGGCCAATGAGAGATCCTGTCACAAACAAAAGGCAAAGGGCTCTTAGAGAGAGGCTTCTGAGGTTTTCTCCAGACCTCAGACATATACATACATGTGCTCATCCACTCATGCACATACACCTACATATATATGCCTACAATGCACACATATAGAAAGACAAATGTGCGCTCCCACGAGCACACACACACACATGCACACACAATGTGCACCTGCACAAGTACATATTCATGTGGTTTTGAGATTTCAAAAGCCCGTGCCAAGCCCAGAGTCTCTCTTCCCGTGGACCAGGATACAGCTCTCAGTTACTGCAGCAGAGCCTGACTGCATGCCACTGTCCTTCCCACCATGATGATAATGGACTAAACCTCTGAAGCCATAAGCAAGGCCCCAGTTAAATGCTTTCTTTCATAGGAGTTGCCTTGGTCATGGTTATGGTCGTGTGTCTCTTCACAGTATGAAACAGTGACTAAGACAGACATTTTATATTTAACCTGCCTGCTCATGGTGGGAACCCCTTCCCGAGGTCTCTGTACCTTTCAGGGCGGAACTCTTCAGGTTCTGGCCAGTACTCAGGGTCCCGGTGAAGAGGATAAGTTGGTACCATAACTATAGTCCCTTTGGGAATGAACACTCCATTGATTTCCACATCCTTCTTTGAGACCCTCTCTAGTCTGTTAGCGATTGGGTACAATCTGAGAGTTTCATTCACCATCATGTCAAGGTACTCCATGTCCATCAGGGCATCATAGGTGACAGGTGACTAGGAAGAAGAAACAGATGTTTCCAGATGAAGTTTGATCTTCAATTAAGTTTGCAGGGCTATTGCATGTCAGAAGCTCCAAGGGTTAATCTTGATTAGTATATCTCAGCCATAATAAATAATTCTGCACCTATGATGACCTTTGTCCTGATGACTTGGCATAGGAGACATTTGGGACACTCCCCTGTCCAGATCCCCTCCTCCTCATCACTGTCATGCTCTAATTTCTTCCCCATGTGAGCACATATGACCAATATGACAAAGTGCACTGGGGTCATGGTCTCATCTCCACAGAACATCAGTCTACACCAAGGAAATATGTCATTGCAAGGAACAAACTCTCCACTCCTGGTCCAACCAGGCTGAAACTGACAATGCCACATCTTGGTAGCTCCTTTGGTTATGGGATTAGAAAGGTACAATGAAGGATTCTGGGTAAGACGACAGACTAAGAGCTGCCTCCGTGTGAGCTGGTGAAGGAGAAGATTCCAAAGGAGAAAACAAATCTTTTCTAGAGAAAGGAAGAGGGGAAGAACCCCTGAAATACATAAAGGAAGTGGCAGGACAGCTAAAAGGCATGGGGGAAAAGATGGGTAAACTCACAGAAAAGAAGCCAAGCTGAAGTTGGTTCCAGCTGCCCTGTGCCCTAGCAGTGGGAGGAAGGGAAGTCAGTGATATTCCAAAAGTTAAAACAGGGGTTCTGATTGAAAGAGACTGGGGCCCTACCTTCAAGAGAAGCTCCCAGCCAGCCATCGTCACAAGCCTCAAAATCAATTCAGGTCTGTGTGAGACAGCAATGGCTTTGTTGATAGAGAGAGCCCCATAGTCACTCAGTATGACTCAGAGAACTTATTGCTGCAAAACGACCAGCCAATGGGGCCAGCTAATTGGGGCACAACCACAGGACATGGATTCTTTCAGTGATTCTAGGCTATAAAAAGGTGACAGTTAATGCTAACTGGGACACCCTCAACCCTTAGTATATATCTAGGAGACTCTAAGCCAATACATCACAGAGATACTAGTGAACCTATTGCATTATTCACAATAGCTAAGAAATGGAACAAAACTTGATGTCCAACTACAGGTGAATGGGGAAAGCAAATGTAGTAGTTGTGCACAGTAGAAAGTTTATTGACCATAGAGATAAATGAGACCATAAAATTTGCTGGAAACAGGTGCAATTAGAAATCATTAGGTTAAGCAAGGCAAACCAAACTAAGAAAAGGTGTGAATGTAGAGAGGATGGATCAAGGGAGGAGGGATGAAGGGAGGGAAGAAAGGAGGGGAGAGTATATATGAAATGAAAGCAGTTCTGCATATTCTTTAGGAAAAGGAAGAAGCCCGATAAGAGAGGTTAGGAGGATGAGGGAGGGCAAAGTGGGAGGAGAATGAACACAAATCAACTTTAATGGCATGTATATAAAAATGTCGGCGTGAAACACATTGCTTTGTGTGCTAACTTTAAAAAGGATATAAATGTTAAAATGTTTAAAGCAATTTCCAGTGACGACCAAAAGCCACATTAATTACCATCCTTGGAAGCTGGACCAGTGTACCAGTTTTTGCTTCAGGACCTGGCCATGAGCTCTGGCAGAGATGCATTCTGTACCATTCTGCCAAAACAGCCACACAAGTCCCGGATAACTTTACATTCCCAAACCTCCCAGTTTGAGCAAAGAGTTGAAGACAGTATGGGTATTGTGGCTGTCATTTAGTGTGACACTCAAAAAGACTATCTTGTAGAGACTTAGAGTTTGGTTTAGGGGGCTAATGAGATGGATCAGGGGGTAAAGGAATTTGCTGCCAAGTCTGATGGCCTGAACTGAAACTCCAGAAACCAATTTGTGGAAACAGAGAGCTGACTCTTACAAGTTATTCTCTGACCTCCATACACATGCTGTGGCATGGACACTTATGCACATACATTTGCATACACACATGTGTATGTGCTTGTGCATATATATACATAGAAGAGTGAATAATTAAAATAATGATGGTGTTTTTGTTGATGATGATGATGATAATGATGATGATAGGTTGGCTTCAGAGCTGGAGACACTGGCTCATCCCTTGGCTTCTTTACCTCTATCTACACCACTGAGTGCTTTTCCATACAGCTGAAGCTGAAATATTAGACACTTCAGAGGCTTGATCTAGAGACTCTCTGAGAGAACTTGTCCAGCACACTGACTGTAATGCAAGCTCTGGTCAGCAGAGGGCACAGACACTCAAAGAAATTATGAAAGTAATGCTAACTGCACTTAGGGCTTCAGACAGGAAGTAGTCTGATACACTATCAATGCCATTATAAACCATAGGAAAGAAAAGACTTCCCTAATATTCTCTCTCTCTCTCTCTCTCTCTCTCTCTCTCTCTCTCTCTCTCTCTCTCTCTCTCTC